AGTGGATGGTGCCTAAAAAGTTGGGAGAACAAGAAAAAGAACTCTCATGGAAGCTGAGAGTGAAGAGAGCTTCAGGGACCATGTTGAAAACAGGAAATAGGAAAGGTTGGTCAAGAAAATTAGATCAGAAAGCCTCAGGAAGTGAAGCCTTTAGACTACTCTTTCATGAAGCTTATCTCTAAAGGGGAATAGATAAATAAGACAGTAAAGTAGATGAACATTGGTAAAAAGAGGTGATTTTTTTTTTTTTAGTTGAAGTATTTTGATCACATATACTTACTGCTATTTATGAGCCAGTAGAAACAGAAATGCTTCATGAGGGTAATTGTACTTTAGAAAAGAATACTTTTCTTAAAAATAATTTTTTAGGGGCCTCCCTGGTGGTGCAAGGCAGCACTATGGAGGTATCCACAGCCACTGCAGCACAAGTTCAATCCCCAGTCAGGGAGATAACCCACATGGCACAGCAGACCTCTCCTGTCTTGCCCACTGCTCCCCTCAGCAGTGTCTTTCCGTCAATCTGCGTGTTTTGTTCCCCACTCAGTCTCTGGTGAATCCTCTCACCCCCATGCCTCTGACCTGTACCCCAGTTCTTTTATGCATGAATAAATAAATACTTTTTAAAAAATTTTTAAACCCTTGCAAAGTTATCTGTCTTCATACCAGCACTGTGCCTGATAGAAGTTGTGTGAGAAATATGTCAAACTGAATGATAACCTGTACACTTTACAAACCACATTTTCATTTGTGACCCTCATGTGAAACTATGATGTAATAAACTATCCCTTAATTATTTTTTTAATTTGAAGTCAATATTCCATTTAGATAGGATCTTATAATCAAGACATAAATAATAATTAAGCCCCTCTCCAGATGCAAACTTTCAAGCACTTAAAAAATAGAAAAATTTACTTTCTTGAAGACAACAATTTTAATCAGGTTGGTAAGGTCTTTAATGAAGGAAACAAATGTTGAAATCAACTTTTCAGTTCTGTAGATGTAGCACAAAACTGTACTGTGCTGATTAAGGGTAATATGCTCAATAAATATTTATTAAATATGAAAGTACATCAGTTTCTGCAGTTATAAAAGAAGACAATAATTAATAAATATATTGTAAAAAAAAACTTCTGTAAATTCCATTACTATGTGATTCAAGGTTAGCTTTCATTATATGACTTAAATAAAATGCAAGTATATGTGATCCTCACATAAAGGAAGAATAAAGGTAGAAAATACTAGGGAACTATGGGGACTCCACAAAGTCTCAATGGACTCAGTCTCCTTCACTCTTCTCTTGTCCTCCTGGTCAAGAGGCTGCTGGCATTCTAGCTACTACACTTGTGTTTGAGGCAGTAGATGATAGAAAGTAGGAGGGGGAAAATGTTCTTTTTGTAAAAAAGATTTATTTTTATTTATGCATACAAGAACTGGGGTGTAGACCAAAGGTGCGGGGGTGGGAGTGGGGGTGAAAGTAGTCACCAGAGACAGAGTGGGGAGTAGAACAGGTAGATCTACTGAAATACACCACTGAGGGGATCAGCAGGTGAGACAGGAGGGGTCTGCTGCACCATGTGGGTCAGCTCCCTGACCAGGGATGGAACTCATGCCACTCGAACTCATGCCACAGTCGCTGGCGATAGCTTGATAGTGCAAGACCTGACGCCTGGGCCACCAGGGAGGCCCAAGAAAATGTTCTCTTTTAAGTAAAGTACCTAAAAGTTCTTTTCAACATTTCATTGGCCAGACTTTAGTCATCTAGTCATGTCTAACTGAATTAATATCTAATTTAATGGCTGTAATGCAAGCTAAACATCAAGGTAGTTGTTCTATGACTAACGAAAATATATACTAGCAATGCTGTAAAATAACTAGTAATTTCTACTACATAGTTTTATTCACACTGAAGATTTAAAGTTGCCAAAGCTCCCTCCCTGCCCAGTGGAAACTAGGTTCAGAAGTGAAGTAAGCACTGGTGAATTTAGTATAGCTATGAGGCTGGCCAATTGACCACATTCTTTTTTTTTTTTGGTAGAGATTTATTTATTTATGCATACAAGAACTGGGGTACAGGCCAGAGGTGTGGGAGTGAGAGGATTCACCAGAGGCAGAGTGGGGAACAGAACAGGCAGGCTGACTGAAATGCATTACTGAGGGAGCACCGGAGAGATCTGCTGCACCATGTGGGTCACTTCCCTGGCTGGGGATCGAACTCATGCTGCAGTGGCTGTGGACTGCTCTATAGTGCTGCGTCTTAACCCTTTGTGCCACCAGGGAGGCCCCCGATTGACCATATTCTTTTTTTTTTAAAGATTTATTTTTATTTTTTTATACAAGAATTGGGGTACAGGCCAGAGATGCAGGGGGTGAGAGGATTCACCAGAGACAGACCGGGGAACAGAACAGGCAGACTGACTGAAGTACACTGCTGAGGGGAGCAGCGGGCGAGACAGGAGAGGTCTGTCCTGCCATGTGGGTTTCTCCCTGGCCGGCCGGGAAACGAACTTGTGCTGCAGTGGCTGTGGATTGCTTCATAGGTTGTATCTTAACCCCTGCGCCACCAGGGAGGCCCCCAACTGACCATATTCTAATGGAATGTTCATCTTTCTAAATCCATTGCCTGGGAACTTATATTAATTCACCTTGTGGTATTTGTCTTAGATCTGTTTACACAATTCTAATATATCCATGAAAAGGAACCTTAGCCTTAAATGTGGAATATGTAATCTAGAGGTCCTCAGGAGGCTAATCATTGGGGAGTGAGGCAGGGGCCTATTGAGAAACTCTTCACTGACTGCTGTCAGAGAGAAAACATCTGAACATGAATCAAATTTTCACAAATACAACTTTTTACTGGCATATGAGCTGCCCACTACCATCACTGCAACCAAATGCTTATTAAATTAACAACAAAATCATACTGGCCCTACCCTTCATCAGCATCTTCCTCCAGGACTTGTTAAGGTCAGTGCTCTGCCATCCTTACTACTACATGGCAGGAGTCAGCATTTAGCCATCGCCCTCCAGGTGGTGACAGTCATGACCTTGGCAAATTGCCTTTCAAAGGTTGTGAACCTTAATGGAGAATAATTACCAGATATTTTTTTTTTTTAATAGAGGCATGTTTTTATTTATTTATTTATTTGATTTGTTTTTGTTTTGTTTATACATGCACTGGGTACAGTCAGAAGAGCGGGAGGGTGAGAGAATTCACCAGAGCCAGAGCAGGGAGCAGAGCAGGCAGAAGGACCGAAGTACACTGCTGAGGGGAGCAGCGGGCGGCAGGAGAGGTCTGCGCGCCATGTGGGACCCTCCTCCTGTGGCCGGGGAGCAGCCGGGGATCGAACCGGTGCCGCAGAGGCCGCGGGCAGCTTCGCAACCCAGCGCTCAACCGCTGCGCCACCGGGGAGGCCCTAATTACCAGATATTGAACTGATTTTTTTTTTCACCTTTCATAGTTAAAATACTTGGGAGCAATGTGAATTTGTTGACAATTTCTCCTTTTAGGTAACTACCAATGGAAAATTATGTGAGCCTACTCATCTGTTATATCCATCAGACAAACAGTTACCCCACAGTACTAGAACCTATATTGAGGTCCTAAGTTCAGGAAGAGGAGAGAAAGAAAGTGCATCCCCCAGAGTGAGAAATTGGATATTTATTAGAGCTGTGTGGTACTTGCAAGAGGAAAAATGCTGATACATTGCAGGTGGCACTGGCCACACAGTGGTGTCAGCAATGTCACATCAGCAGGTCAGATCAAACCTCCACGGTAATTGACAAGGGCTCTTACATGGCTGGCCGAAAGCCAGATGCAAACCAAACCCCATCTGTAGCTACAGAAAGCCACTTTATTGCACTACCAGCCTAGCATACTAGTATGTCTTATGAAGCATTTGGCAAAATGCTGTCCTCATCTTAGGAAGTCTGATGGTTTTCCTGGCATCTTTGGATAGCCAATAATAAAAATAGACATACCTGATCCATATTGAGCTTTTACTGTATGCCGGGCACTGTGCTGAATTTATATTCATTTCATCTCACATAATAATCACTATTTCCCAAATACTATCTAGCCTTGCCTTCTTTCCTTCTAATAGAATCCTGAGCAAAAAAAATTCTCAATAAAGAATATTACCTTTCATAGCCTCTATCTGTTTATTCAAAGGGAACAAAAATCAATATCAGTGTAATCAACCATAACATAGCCAAGTAGCAATTTTTAGAAAGAGACATTTCTAAAATATCAGAATTTTATAATAAATTCTGGTTTATTTTTTGGATGATGAATTATTCAGGCTGGTAGAATTCCCAAGATATTTTTCCCCCCTAGGGGCTTAAATAAATCTAAATTCTTGAACTTCAGTTTAAAAATACAGAAATGACTCTTAAGTCTTAAAGCACTAGTTAGGTGAGTTGTTTTCTTATATATATGTCTTCAAACATTCTTCTGGCTCAATGAGAAAATTCACATTTCCTGAGTATTCATGTACCAAGGTTTCTGTTCAAGGACTATCTAATAGCTATCGCTAAATCAGATCATTGATTTCAATGGCAAGACATAATTATTTCACAGATAGTAAGAAAATAAACACAGAAAGCAAGGGCATAATATAGGCCATGTCTAAATGTCATAGCTTATATTTATATGTCAAACTTTAACAAAATTTGTTAAATATTTGCTATTGGTAGTCAACAAGACCTGGGTTAAATTCAGTTTTGACCCTTGACATTTGTGTGGCATTGTTAAGTTACTGAATTTATCTAAGTTTAACTATCCTTATGATTATCATTCAACTTTGTGTATAGCTTTGAAATAATGTTTGTAAACACAGCAGACACTTGATAAATAGTGGCAAGTATTATAGTCATTGTTCTGTCTTTTAAATAAACTAAATCATATAATGAACAAGTCTTTTAAAATGAATGAACATGTGGAATAAAATATAAACCCCTTTTCAGAGAAATGTTAGTCTAGAATACTTTAACATTGCCTATTAATGTACCAAAGGTAAATAGTTTTTTAATTCAAGCAGAAACATAATATACTTTGTCTGGATTCTTCTGAACTATCACAGTAGGTACAATTTCATGGAAGGGTGTCAGGACCAGGATCTTGGCTCAGTTTGGAAATTTTTCTGGAATCTTGAGCAAGTTGATTTAGATGATCTCTCAGCCTTCTAGCATCCAACCATCTTGTGCTCACTAGCATGTATAAAAGTTCATCAACTGAAATCCATTCCCTTGACTCTTGACTTTGGTAGGCAACACAGTCTAACAGAAAGAACACATCACGTGAAGTCAGACAAAGCTGAGTAGAGTACTAATCCACTTTTGCTTCTACAAGCTTTACACCCTTCTCTGAGGTTGTCCATTTTCTCATTCTTAAGAAGTTGGCCATAGCTGCCTGCTGGGGATATGATGAAGATTAGAAATAGTGTAGGCATTTAATAATTGAGCTGTTATTTGATTAATCGTAGCTATCATTTTCCAGAGTCCTCCAGTAAAATATAAATTTATTGAGACAGATGATTTCTCAGGACATTTTTTGGTTACCAGGAACAGAGAACCACTCAGATCCCAACAGATGAGAAATGTGAAACAGTGGTGTTATAAGGTTACAGATAGTTTCATGGACCTCAAGCTGAGGATCTGAAACTGGGAATTTAAAAAGTTTGAATAAAATATGCTCTCTCATGCTCTCTCTCCTTACATATCCTTCTCCTTAGACAGCCTTTGTTAGAGTGTCTGCTCCATTTTTCTCTTTTCTCATTCCACCTCTAACTCACACTGCTCCCTGGAGCCACCTTCTACCAGCCTTAGCTCCATGAAGGACCCCCTATTTACTAACCTCTATTTCACTAGGCTATGGGACACCATTATAACCAGAGGGTAGAGTCTTGAAGTTCTTTGTATATTTCACAGAGTTTGATTGTAGGAAGACTCTTTTCAATGGGCACACAGTAGAGGCTAGTAACCCAACATAAAAAAAGGTATAACATAAAATGATTGCTATTACCCTAACATCAATTTTCTGATAAAATGTATAGAGTTGGAGTCAAGCAGACAGCTACTGTGAGCCCTTAAGCTTATGTAGTTTTGAGAATCTTCTTTAAGGCAAAAACATGAGTCATACATGCAAAATTTCATAGAAAAGTAAATATTTATAATCAAAAAAGGGAACACAACAAATTTTCACATTTAAGAAATTTGAATAATATGTCAGAAAATACAGAAAATATTTAAGTTATATCTTTAATACTTTTTTCCCTACACATTTAATTTGCATATTTATTGTCCATCTCCTTCCATAATATTTAAAATACTTTCTTTAGAGAGGATAACAACATAATTCAGTAATTCCTATAGCATAGTTTAGTTTGTTTAACTGATGGTTGAGATACATAAAACACATATATGTTTTGTTTTTACTACCATTACAGATTTTTTCCTAAACAGATAAAAATTATATGTAATTCTACTTTAAAATTCAATTATAAACATATGATGCAATGCACCCCCACATTATCAATTTCATCCCTGACAGGTAGGCATTTATTAGAACTGAATCCTTTGCTTACCAATTTATCTATCTGATGATTGGAAGAACTTTCCTCAGAGTAGCTTCTGGGTAATCTGAAAGAAACCTACCTATTTCCAGTGCCAGATGATTTAGGACACCTTTCCATACTGATACAGATTCTAGCCCTCTTCTCTTGGCCAGGTACCGGGAAACTGGCACAGAGGGTCGTAGGTGTATTTCTAAAAATGATCCCTATACCAGGACAACTGTAACCCTAATTATCCATGGAAGTAGCTATGAACCACATATGTAGCCCTCTAAACTCAAGTTCAATGTATACCCAATTTAACATGTGAGGCAGATCCCAAAATGCTGCAATATTCATGGGCCATAGGGGAAATAAGAAAATTTGAAGTGGAAGGTGTTGGCAGCAATAACATATAGCGGTTACAATCTCTTCCTCTGGAGAAAAAACAAATATATGCATAGTGTAAGCACACTGACAGAGCTCCTCTCAAGACCCTGAAGGTTATGCTTTATTAACATCACCATAAATCCACCTCTGGCTGGACAAGGGATTGTGACAGGTCAGAAACTCAGTATACTGCTGAGGCAGAACAAGCCAGGCTGATGTAGCGACACTGTTCCTGAGGCTCAGCTTGTGGGTTCTGGATGCTCAGCGAACAAAGGCTGAAAAAGAGCTACTGCCAATGAGGCAAGGAAAGTGACAGCAAAGACCAACTTAGGACAATATTTTGCCAGCCTTTTCCAGATGTCACTGCTTCAGCAAAAAACTAGCTAACTTGACCTAAGACCTGAAGTTCCATCAAGCAAGATGACACAAGAGGCTGGTTTCAGAAAACAGAGGAAAATAGGAAACAGCAGCCCCATGACTGGCAGAAAGGGAGAGACAAAAGTGACTATTCAGAGAGATGAGAAACACTTACATTTTGTTTCATAATCGTGGTTAAAATCATTGACAAGTAAAAGGAAACTACACACAGGAAGGAAAGACCTTCGCTACCTTCTTTAATTGAAATGGCTTGTGGTCAGGCGGGGAAGCTTGCAAGCCCACAGCAATGAAACTAAATGAGTCAGATGACATATAGATTCAGACGCTGAATTTTAGATTCCCAGGTGATTTTATTAGAAACTGTTACATGGGATATGCCAAGAGAAAGAATTAACAGAATGGATTAACAGAATAATGTCGAAAGACCAACTAAATTATCATTAAATAAGTAATTATGTAGATAATGAACTTTTTAGAAAATATATTTACATATACATTGCCTAATATGAATGAATGGTGCGTGACTAGAAATCACTTTATAGACTGACTAATACCAATCTTCTAATAAATCTAAAGTGAACCATGTATTTCGTGTTTCCAGGACTGTGCTAATGGTTTTCATATGTATCATATAATCACATAATATCTTCATAGAAGAGTTATGAAATCAGTATTGTCATTTCTTCCCTTTCCCAACCAGTTTTCTCCTATTCATCTTCTAATTTAATACTTTGTCACCCATAAATTAATTAGGTCTCAACCCCCTACTCAACTTTCTTTTTCAAAAACACTTCAATCTTTTTTCATAGCATTTATCATAATATGTAATTATGCCTTAATTTTTGGTTTATCAGCTTAATTTCTGTCTTCCTCTCTTCCTTGTAGAAAGTCTATTGTGTTCTTCACAATATACCTTGTAAACGCAATAAATGTAGGTTGATTAAATAACCAAATGATGAGGGCCTCCCTGATGGTGCAAGGGGTTAAGCACAGCACTGTGAAGCTGTCTGCAGCCTCTGCAGCACAAGTTCGATCCCCAGTCAGGGAGCTACCCACATGGTGCAGCAGACCTCTCCTGTCTCACCCACTGGTCCCCTCAGCAGTGTATTTCAGTAGATCTGCCTCTTCTGCTCCCCACTTTAATGCTGGTGAATCCTTTCACCCCCTGCACCTCTGGCCTGTATCCCAGTTCTTGTATGTATAAATAAATAAATCTTTAAAAAAAAATAAAATAAATAACCAAATGATGAGAAAATTGAGGTTTAGAAAAGTTAAAAAAGACCATAGCCAATTAGCAGAACATGATTCAAACCAAGCTCTTGGTGCCTTGAGAGCCTTAACCACCCAGGCTAGATCATTGTTAGGACCCGTACAAAACACAAATACAAGCCCTTGTTCAGAAAGGGAGAAGTGCCATTAAAGGAATTAAAACACAGGGGCCTCCCCGGTGGCGCAGCGGTTGAGCGCTGGGTTGCGAAGCTGCCCGCAGCCTCTACAGCTCCGGTTCGATCCCTGGCTGCTCCCCGGCCACCAGAGGAGGGTCCCGCATGGCGCGCAGACCTCTCCTGCCGCCCGCTGCTCCCCTCAGCAGTGTGCTTCGGTCCTTCTCCCTGCTCTGCTCCCCGCTCTGGCTCTGGTGAATTCTCTCACCCTCCCGCGCTTCTGACTGTACCCAGTGCATGTATAACAAACAAACAAACAAATAAATAAATAAATAAAATACGTGCCTCTTTAAAAAAAAAAAAAGGAATTAAAACACAGCTTTATTCTTTCTTGCACAGTTTCTCTTCACTTGTCATAATTTTAATTTGCAACTTAATATGGGTCTAAGTAAAGAAATTATTACCATGAAATATACCATTCATCTGTATATTGCACAATACCAGTTTTAATTGCAAATACAAATATTCACTGTGTGTGCAGAATCACCGAAATTACACAATTCATATTTCGTAACTGCAACATGAATATGTATTTGGTCTTAAAAAAAAAAAAAAAAGCTGTGGAAATACTGCACAAAACGAACTCAATTGTTTTTATGTCACTTCGGATTATGCACATATTACACCCACATTGTCTACCCTTCAGCTTGCTAAGGAAGGAAGAGCTAAGAGAAAAAGGAGCTATGGCTTGCCCGCCTTCCCTTTCCTTCTAGGTACCATTGTCAGCCTAAGTGGTCAGCAACTAGAAGAACAGGGGGAAGAAAGGGTGTGGTGGAGGTTCTCGTGTTAGCTTTCTTAGAATGCCATTCCTTGTTTCTGTGCTCAAAGCAAATCTGGTTCAAGAAGAAAGCATGTCTTCAGGGCTGTCAGCACACCCACCCAGGCGTCGATGTAACACGTGTAGCTTGTACTTGCTTGGAATCTTGCTGAACTCCCACGTATCGTGGGTCCACCAGAATTCTGTGTTCATGGGACACGATGAGGCCTCTATGCAAATGAGCAGCTCTGAACAGCTGACGCGCATGCTGTGTGCATCACCTCAGCTCGGGCACATGCTCTGTTGTCCCACAGGATTTCACTTACAAAACCCAAAATCAGAGAGAATGATTAAGAATTTTAAGATGGCCAGAGCAGAGCACTCAACCAAGCAGAGGACCTTGTTGAGCATTTGGCCATGCACGGGTCACAGATTCACGAACCTGGCCCTGTGCTATTTTTATCTACTACATGCTGCTGCTTTGTAGCTGATGGTGCTGCTATATCCAACTGTAGATTCACAGTGATGAATCTTATTATAGTGAGTAAAGATAACCTCTTTTCAGCATAGTAGAGTTCTTATCTGGCTTTATTGATATGACAAAAGAAATATAGAGAGAAGCATAATATCAAAGGTTCAAGTGAGAAATGCTTATTGTGGATCACACAATAGGATGAGGGTGTCGGGGGCAACAGGGCCTCACTCTTGGCTTGAGAGCAGTGGAGGTCCTGGTTTTATGGGACTGAGCACCATGTCAGGCTATCAGGGGAAGCAGGGTATTGGCTGGCTAGGGTTTTGTGACTCCAAAGCTAACAAGGACCAGGTTAATGCAATACAGCAAGGCAAAATAACAAAGACCCAGTTCCAAGGACCCTGTAACAAGTGCGCTGTCAGAACAAGGAAGGATGACAAATAATTCCCAAGTTGCTTTTCAAACTTCTGTTGCAACTGGTAAAGGAGGGGGATGCATATGTTTGCACACTAGGAATAAGGAATTATTTTTATTTGCAGACATTTATAATTGCTTCGCCATTGACTAAGCTATTATATATTCAAATCTGAGCAGGGAGCAAGTAATTTAGTGCAGTAATATTTTCTCCTCCACTTCACTGTTAAACTTGAATAAAAGTTAAATAATATCATAATGCCATAGCAAATATTTTAGCCAAGAGGACACTGTATTCTTCAGCCTCTTCTGAATAGGCACAACTATAAACAGGGTCAACAATCCACTTGCCCTGGGCTGATTTTGCAGTTTTCCCCTAGGTACTCCTGACATGAATCCTGGTTCTGTGATTATTTGCTCTGGCAACCAAACCAAAGAATAGTTTTTCTTTCTTTCTTTCTTTCTTTTTTTAATTGCATTGTTTTTTATTGAGGTAACATAGGTTGCAATACTGTTCATGATTCAGAGATACAAGATCACACCTCTCCAGGTGTATGTCACCACACTACACCCACCACTAAGATATCCATAATCCTCCACTGTAGTCCATTTAACCCTCATCCTACCCCCACTCTTCCCTCTGGTAGCCTCCATTATGCAGTCAGATTTCTAGGATTTTCTTTGACTTAGTTTTGACTGTTCCTTTGTTTTGTTTCTCTGTATTCCATGTATGAGTGAGACCATCCTATTGTTCTCATTTTCTACCTGATTTAATTCATTTATAATCCCTGTTTACCATCATAATTTGGGATTTCCTTCATTTTTGGAGCTATTCTAAGATTGGTCCTTAGACTGCATCAAAAAAATTAACAAACTGAAGTTTTTGATCTGTTTGACAGATGAGAAGATTTATTCTCATAAAAGTTACAGAACTCACATGGCTAGTAAATGGCATCAGAGGATTTGGACCCCAGGCTGGCAGAGCTTTCGTTCTTGCCCAGTTCAATTTCATGCGCTCAATAAATGTTGCGTTGGGCAACACCACACTGATAAAGAAACAGGAGTTGTGGAGCAGGCTGCATAATGCAGGATGCTGAAGAGCAAGATCCTGACCGTTTTCATTGATAGAATAATCATACAGCATCAGTTACATGGGTTAGGAGGACAAGGAGAAAAGGATGGGTGAAACTAAGGAATAGAGCTTCAGGGGGACATGAGTTTGATGACCAGATAATTCTTTTTTTTTTTTTAAAGATTTATTTATTTATTTATACAAGCACTGGGTACAGTCAGAAGCACGGGAGGGTGAGAGAATTCACAAAGCCAGAGCGGGAAACAGAACAGGCAGACTGATGAAGTACACTGCTGAGGGGAGCAGCATGAGGCAGGAGAGGTCTGCACGCCATGTGGGACCCTCGCCGGCAGCCAGGATCGAACCGGCACTGCAGAGACTGCGGGCAGCCTCGCAACCCAGCGCTCAACTGCTGCGCCACCAGGGGAGGCCCAGATGACTGGATAATTCTTATTCGTTTGATTACCAAGTGTTGTAATCGAAACCAGACCCCAGATCCTCAGCTAAGGTCCTAGTCTTATCAACAAGGTTTCCACTGATCAACTTCTGGGGTCCCTTGTCATACATCAGGCCTCAGCCCCCAGTCATACCTCATGATGTATGAGTTGAGAGTAAGTTTATGCATCCATCGTCAGCCCCCTGGTGTTCCCGGTCATACCTCGTGATACGTACCCTTCCCAGAGTGATCAAGTTTTCTGCTCTTGATTGATTTGAAAGGCACCTTGTAAGGTTTGTCTCCTATGGCTGAATGACTGGTTCCGAAGGGCAGTTCTGACCTTGTATAGGAATGCAGAACTGCAGGTAACAGTAATGGTGACTGACTAGGCCACTTAAGTTTAGCAGACCCACAACTAAAGCCTGAGATCCCAGGATGGTAACAGTAGCATCTGTGTGCTCGTACCAAACTAGACCTGTTGCCCCCCTTTCACCACTCAGTCTTAAGCTTATTTAAATTAGCCACTTAGCTCTGTTAAGTTCTTATGCACTGTCAGTTCACATTTCTGTCTACACTGATTCTCACATATTTCCCACTTTCCTGCCACGCTTGTCAGATAAAAATATACAGTATATTTCCTTAAATTAGACTACTGTTAGTACTAAAGTCATCTCAGTCATTCATATCTATGATGCAAAAATAGGAATTGCAGATTATATACCTCTTTTATATACATTCATTTATGTAAGATATAATATACAAGTGAATTAACAGAATGACAAATTGAGTCATTGGTTGCCTGAGAGATGTCATGTATTCTCATCAGAGATACTGATTTTAGCATTTGGTAAAGTTTCAGAAATACTGGTTTTATCCTTACAGTGACCATCTAAATTTAGATTTAGATCTAAGTTTATATTCCACATGCTGCATAACATTTATTATTTATTCAGTGAAACTGAAGGTTATTATGTGCAAAGCAATGAATTTAATATAGATTTAATGACTTGAATTCACTTTATCAGGATGCCTAAAACAGATCAATGTCTGATAACTATGAAAAGGTTCTTTTCCCAACTTAATTTTAGAAATATCAAAAGCTGACATTGAAAGAAATCATGTTCTCTTATGAAAACAACACAACTTGATAAGCTGTAGCGAGGGTCATGCCAGGGAAGTCAGCCCAATGGGGCTGCCTAAGTCAGATCATATACAGAAATAGCCTTTCCTGTCACTGAGGATTTGACACAAATTCTTTGTATTTCTTTAGGAATAAGTAAAAGTGGTTTTCATGTTCTATACAAGTCCTGTTCAGATTTAGTTCAGAGAATATTCTGATTCTATTCCTTGAAGCTTTGGTTTTCTGAGCAAAAGTAGTTCATAACAGATTTCTAACCAGGAGTTTTTGTTTTGAATGGTTTTTGAATCATTTTACTATAAGGACTAATCAAAGTCCATATGTATAATTTAGATTATACCAATTATACAATCCCAATTATAATAATATATATTATATATAATAATATATATTATACAAATAATTATATAATTTAATATATAATTGTAACATCATTTTATTATATATATTAAATATATGATTATATTATTTATATAATTATATTAGTTATATAATTATATAATTAGGATTAAGTATCAGGTAGTAATCAGGCAGTTCAATCAATGAACAAATCAAAATGTGCCAACTGAAATGGACAGCAAAGAGCTTGCTGTGTAACAAAGACTCTAAATGATATTAAGAAAAACTAGGAAGACTGCATATGCTTAATCCAATGGCTCATGTCTCCAAAGCTTCCCTCACTTTAAAAGATTGAAAGTTGATGTGGTCAGGCTCAGCTGATGCTTCTGCCTGTATCCTCTGTCAACATGGACCGAGATAAGACAGCTATTTCTTTTTGGTATGGTAGGTCTAAGTTGTACTTTTATCTGTGGAGACTTTTAAAATAACCTCAACATCTTTGGAACATTTGCAGAAGCTGCCAAGGTGATGCCTTGGAAAAAACCAGCACTCATTTGAGTGTCAAGCTGTGATTCTTTGTTAAACATATGAATATTAGAAACCTAATGTTACACCAGCCATATGTCCTGATGATAATGGACTCAACTTCTTTTCTCATTCATCTTAGTGAGGCAGCTAGCTTACATTTTTTAACATCTGTGCTAGACATGCACTTTGGTACTTTTATGTAACCCTATTTATTTGCCCCCGATTTTCTTAAAATAATTTTCTCTCTGGGCTCTATCTGTGCCAGAATTTATGGTAATCTTAATGTTACTTAATGCTTTGGGTTTGTTGTCTTTTATGATTGGCATCTGAAGATTAAAATCATTCCACTAACATTTTGGATTCCTGCCAGAGATCCCTCCTAAACATCCTTAACTTTGCAATTTGAAGCAGAAATGTGTGTGGCATATATAGCATTTATGTTGATTCTGGTAATTCCGGGGTGGGGGTGGGTGCGGCGGGGAGTATGATCTCAATTTAAATTTTTTTAAAAAGCTGCTAGTACTTTCTCTCTAAATTGATGTTTTCTTTTCTTTGTTTTTTTTTTTTTTGAAGCAATGTCAACTTTATTTCTTATTATTATAGGATAGCATGTGTAGAGAGTCTCTGCAAGGAAATGTACCAGATCAGTAATACTGGCTATTTAAGCATGGTTAAATTATAGGAGATTTTGTTTTGTTTTAGTGTGTCTTTTATAGCTCAGCAGTCATTTGCCTTTTTTCATTCTTACCTTTGTTAATACATTTTGAAAGATGGGTAAAGGGAATCTATTTAGTTTTTTAAAACTTCAGTTTTGTGATTTGCCTTTGAATGTTACATTTCTGAGGTGCCGTTGTTCTAACTTAGCTTTAGGGTTTAAGAGTAAAAATGAATAAAAGATCAGGAGAGCAAACAAAGTCCATAAGTGAAAGTACAAAACATTTCCACCTAAGATAATTAATTTGATTTTCAAATAGATGAAAACTTAAAGAAACAGTAATCTTAACTTGGAAATTCAGAAGCCCGCTATGGGCCCTGAATTTCCTAAGTAAATTTATAATCTGAGTTTGCTTCCAGAAGACTTATTTCATCTTCAGGTCTAGAATGCCTGGGTTCAGGTTTTGGCTCTTCCCCTGTTAAGCACACACATCTGTGTGCACAAGCATAGCATCAGTGCATGCATAGTCACACACAGTGAGCCCCTAGGAGAACGTCATGCCAGGCACACTGAGTCCTCCTCACCTTTTCCACAATCATCCCTACAGACACTTAGTCCTTCTCAACCTCTTTCCCTTAACTGTGAAAGAGGGGAATAATATTCCCCACCTCATGGTAGCTTTATGAATTTATTATTAATGTATTTTTCCATGTAAGGACCATAGTGTTCAACAGATGTGATTTATTGTTCAGCCAAGGTTGACTTCAAATCTCTAGTTTCATGGAGACTCAGCCCTTTGTAATGACAGCTATTTGGGAGTCTGAGGGCCTCCATGCACCATCTTATCTCCAACTAGAGTCTACCTGAATAGCTGTTTGGAGTAATAAAGTCCACCACAAACAAGAAAGTAGAAAGAGCTAACATGTTCATTGCCACATTTTAGAGATAAACAGTCTCTCAGGGTGAGATTATTTACTCAATATCACAAAGCCCATAGGAGACAGAGTGTTCTGATTTCCTATTTTTCTCATTTTAAAATGAAATGACTCAAAGTCATGTTGCCATCAACTGGGAAACAGTAACTAGGGGCATAATATGCTCACGTGTGATAGCCACTAACAGTAGACTTTTTTTTTTTTTTTAGCAAAATCCATGCAGTTTACAAATCTGGGCAAATGTGCCATCAGAGACAGAGTGACAAGCACCTCTACATAAACCTCCTTCAGAGGATCCTGTCATCTCTTGCTAATCTGAAGTTTAGTTGAATCAAATGCAGATCCTATTGTCATTGGAGGTATTTCAGTAATGCTACCAATAGTGGGAATTGCCCAGTCTTAAATGTGAGGGTTAGAACTTCAGAAAGTCTGGATTGGGGTGACATGCTGTCCTTATTTTGGTTCGGTTTAGTTTTTCTGGAATATGAGAAGCAAATTCAGATCTACCTCGTATAAGCCAACTCTGTAATAACACTGGCTGGATAGCAAGCATTTTCTTCTTTGCAATAATTCTGCAGGAAAGCTAAAGAATTTTTAAAAAGAATTTTGCTCATATGGGAGGAGGGGTAATACATACCTTACCCTGCTCTCTTGAGTATGTCAATTATTAGCTAATCTGGAATAACCATGGACCTACAAGAAAATCAAACATTTAGTATATTCTGAATTCTTTAGTTTCCCTTAAAAAAGGTAATTTGTTTTCTTTCTCTCTCCAAAAAAAGTCATTTCCTTCTTACATGCATACATTTAGAATAGTACTATGGTACACTCAATCATTGAGAATTTTAATTTCCCATCTCATGTTGATCAGATAAAGCTGCCTTTAGATGATAAGGAAGTTCTGACAAAGAAAATAAATTACTGTTTTTATCTGATTATGTAAGTAAAAACATGTGTTAGTTTATAGAACACAATGCAGCTGACACATGAAGTGTTCCGCTATAATTCATAGAATTGTTTGTACTACAATATGAGCCAACACTGTGCTTGTGAATATCTCTCCATAGAAACAACTAATCACTGATATAGCTTACCAGTTATTATTTCTAATCTTTGAACTCTTGCTTGCAGATTGTATATTAATTTGGAAGCATAAGAATTTAGCAATATTCAGAAACATTTTTTCTTCTTTCATGTCATTGTGTTTGCGCACATTTAATATTTGTGGCATTTACCTTTCTGTGGAGAGAGGTATACCGTGACCTAATAGAACATAAACATGGAAAATCTATTCCCATAGCCACTGCTAGACTTTGGGAATTGAGATAACCTTCTCCTCTTGTTTTGATTTTATAACATGCACCCATTTTTAATAAGTGAGCAGAATGCAATACATTTTGGAGAATTAAGCATGAAACAAAAACTTCTTGGAAAATTTCAGTAGCTGAGATAATTAAAGATCTATTGGGATACCAGAAATCACTGTGTAAGGAACTTAAGAGTCTGAAGATCCAGACCAAATATACCAAAGGTGCTTCCCACTCATTCCTCTGACTTTCCATTCACCTTATGTGGTACCACTGCCATTACTGGTCAAATTGATTAAAGAGACTCTTGGCTGGTAGAGGTGGGTACCATGGGTGGCTCATGTCTCCCTGTTTACACATGACAGATTATCTCTGTTGTCGCCAGGGGATTATGTTTGTGTAATTTTATTTTAGAAATGCTAAGATTAGTTTAGAAAAAAGGAGAAATGATTGTGTGTGATCAGGCAAGATAAAAAAATTGTTCAAGGATGGCTCTGCCCCTTTAAACCACTTGGACTTTGAATATCCAACTTATGAAAGAATAAGAAGTATGTCTACACTTACCTCTTTGTCGCCAGGTAATAACCCATAACTACTGGCTATTCTTCTTACCTGAAGAACAGCCCATGAGAGTCAGGGCATCTGCTCTCAGATGTGAAGGATAGATGATCTGCACACAAAGACATGAAAACAGTGTCAGGAAACTCATTCAATTTATTCACAAAGCCACTTACCTGCTATGCTAGGACCCTGGAATTACAGTTACTGCGAGTTTACTTTCAGTTATTTTTTTTTTAAAGATTTATTTATTCATGCATGTAAGAACTGAGGTACAGGCCAGAGGTGTGCGGGGGTGAGAGGATTCACCAGAGACAGAGTGGGGAGCAGAACAGGCAGATCTACTGAAATACACTGCTGAGGGGAGCAGCTGGCAAGACAGAAGAGGTCTGCTGGGCCATGTGGGTCACCTCCTGGGCTGGGGATCTAATTCATGCTTTAACAGCTGCGGACAGCTTCATAGTGCTATGACTTAACCCCTTGGACCTCAGGGAGGCCCTACTTTCGGTTTTGAGTAGGAAAGTGAGATAAGGTTAAAAGAGTACATCGTACATCATGGAAAAGATCACAGTTTAAAGTGAACACCTCCACACCAGCCTCACATCCTCTGTCATTAACGACACTGTATTTGGTACTTGACATTAAAGATTTCCTGTAACTTTCCGTATGACTTCTCCACTTGCTCTATTTTCTGAATACTACATGTACACTTGTTTGACTTTGTTATTAATAAATTAATTATAATTAAACTTTATCCTTACCTAATCCATCTAGTTAAAAAAAAAACAACCACCTCATTTTCTTTTTTAAAGATTTATTTTTATTTATTTATTTATACAAGCACTGGGTACAGTCAGAAGCGCGGGAGGGTGAGAGAATTCACCAGAGCCAGAGCGGGGAGCAGAGCAGGCAGAAGGACTGAGGTACACTGCTGAGTGGAGCAGCGGGCGGCAGGAGAGGTCTGCACCCCATGTGGGACCCTCCTCCGGTGGCCGGGGAGCAGCCGGGGATCGAACCGGCACAGCAGAGGCTGTGGGCAGCTTCGCAACCTGGCGCTCAACCCCTGCGCCACCGGGGAGGCCCAACACCTCATTTTTTTAAATGTGATTTGAGTTCACTTAATTAGCAGACTATGAGAACTTCCCTTCTTCTCCATTCATATAGTAAATCTAAGCAAAATGCACACAATAATATCATATTCCAGGCAAACAGAAGTTCATAGCTACCCAGATTCACTCTTATTTCAAATCTTCAATAATCCTTTGGGATATTCCAGTGAGACAGGTACTATGATATAGAAAAAAAAACAAAACAAAACATGTTTTCATATTTTGTCCCTTCTAAAATATAAAACAAATAACATCATACTACATAAATCAAGAAACAATAAATAAAATGATTGAACTTGGGATGTTACATTGAAAACTTGCTTTTATTCTGATTTCATTCAATAGAATTTAACCTAGGAAAAACAAAATATGTTGGCCACATGCCTTCTTTGACTTCCCCACATTAATTTGTTTATTAGGTTCTCTGCTCTCTGCACAGAGGAAGGTTTCATAAATGCATATTGACATGCCCACTGTAGGCTTATGCGGAAGGGAGAATTAATCCTCCATTGTGTAGCAGTCAAGTCCTATTTAGTGGTTTGTCTGCAAAGATCAATACAGGGTCTCTAAGGCATAATGGCTGGCTCCGTTTGCTCCTGCTAGACAAACAAACGCCCTTTTGAAAGTCAGTTCACGGAAAAAAGCTTTTTCTGGGCACAACCAGCTCTGGGTAAAACTTTTAAACAATCCGAGTTTGATTTCCAGTGCTACAGGCGTCATTTCTGGGTGCTTTTCCCTTCTTTGATTGTGACTTCTCTCCAACCTTTTCCCATTAAAAGCTGCCTTCAAGAAACAATTTGACATATAAATTCAATCCCGAAGAGATAACACGAGTTCAAGCCTTCACATGTTACCACTCTCGGTAAGAGTTGTATTTTAGCAAAAACAAGAATTCTTAGGCAGCATTCATCCCTAATCGTGGAATTTAAGTAATTCAGAGAGCACGAGAGGCATGACATTGTCAGGAAGTTAGTATCATGAAAGACAAAAGCCTATGTCCACCTACTCATGACCATCCCAGCTACCTGGATTTGGCCAGAAGCCACTTAACCACACACCCTTTCTCTTTATTGTTTGTTGAACTTCTTTTTATTTCCCTTATATTTAGTTCAAATCATACCTCCTTGTGCAAGTATCTCCCATCACCTCCTGTACTAACATTGTATAAACAGTAAGCAGCAAACCTGCTTTTCCCACTTCATGATGCTCCCCGCCCATGGGCACCAGTCACCCAGTGATGGTGGATAGGGCGGAGGTGCTGGGATACAGACGCTCCTCTTTTACTCTCTTTCCCCAAAAAGAGCATTTTCTAAAGTCCAGAATTTGAAACATTTGAAGAAATCGGTTTAATAGTAGAGAGGTAATGTTCTGTGGAACGATTTCAAACTCTTCTGCAGGAAAACAACACTTAACCTTCCCAGAGTTGATTACAGAAAGAATGGTCCAAGTCAGAGGCTGGAGAACTATATCCAGTGGATCAAATCCAGTCTGTCTCCTCTCTGTGCACTACTTGCTGTCATAGAATTTTGGATTCTCAGCAAAAAACAGTCTGTTTCTAATCATTTAGATTAGAAAATCAGAAGAATATTTTCGAAACATAAAATCATATGAAATTCAATTTCCATAAATAAGTAAAATTTATTTACGGACACTGAATTTTTTATTCATTTATGGATTATGGAGAGCTATTTTTGCATGACAACAACAAAACTGAGTAGTTGCAACAGAAGGCCTATGTCCTACAAAGCCCAAAATATTTACCAACTTGCCTTTTATGAAGAGTACTTTACAGTACTCTCAATGATTATATTAGAAACAACATGGGCAACTTAATGACATTATTTACATCTCTTCTAAAAAATAGTCCAGAAACAATTAAAAATGAGGAACTGAGATTCACTTAGGCTTGAAGAGAATAAGCCACTGGGACATTCCTCACTGTGGATAGCAGAGGTGTAAATGAGATAATTAACAATTCTTTCTAGAAGAAGTTATTAGATAGAGCATGGCAAAAAAAAAAAGTAATAATAACCTTTGGCGTTGTCGAGGTAGGATAAGAAATACATGTAAATATTTAGAAATCTGACACAATTAGAGTTCAATTATTTGTTTATTTCTCTAAATTCCTTCCTTAACCATGAGATGGTGTGATGGGGAGGAGGGAGATAGAAAAAGAACAAGTATTAAGTTACAATCAGAATCAAAGTATTCACTATGGGAATTGGATAAGTTTCTAAGGAAAGAAGGAAGAAAATACATTTAAGAGGAATATTCACTTTTAGTGTTTATCATGTGCTTTCATTATTTTTTCTATAAAAGTTTGCTACTTTAAGTGCTTTTATTTAAGCAGACAACTTTATTGGTAGCAAATGTTTTCAGAAATATTTCAAGGAGTCTTACTTTTGTGGTATCAGGTTTGAGCCTTGTTTTCCCATAATGAAAATCAACAACCATTGATCACTCAGTGACTGCTTTCAGAAGTGAAAGCAGTGTTGTGAAGGCTTTACCCTTCAACTGTAAATAAATCATTATCATAAACCCTCGTTAGTAGAAACATCAAGTTGTCAAACAGATTTTGAAGAGTATTCCAGCATCCATGTTAATGACATCTATAATGGAACCACTATGCTCTCTCTTGCTTTTAATTTAAAGCACCCAGCGTGTATTGTCATTTATTGCCAAAACCCTCATCTACCATCTTATATTCTTTACATGTAAGAATATTTTTCTTTATTAAATTTATAACTAACAACTAAACTCTGGCATGATTAGCTATCGACTTTCGTTACTACAATTAAAAAAAAAAAACACACAACAGCAACAGCAACAACAAAAAAAAAAACTCCAACAAAAAGGCTCATGAGCAGCTGACCTAATTGTGAAACCAAAGACAACTTGGTTTTATAGATACTCACCTACCCTTAAAATATGCTTTAATTTCTCACTAATGGCATTCTCAATGGTCTGTTGAAGGATACAACTCTGAAATGATTTATTCTAATTAAGAGCTTCTTGCCAGCAGTTAGTCACCATGAGCTTGGAAGCCCCAGGGACCAGTTTTTATTACACATCTGTGCCCATTTCATACAAGAAGAACACTTTACAGTCATCAGATCAAATTGGACAGCTTTATAATGTTGCTTCATGGTTAACTTTTTTTTCCCATTCGCAAAGTCAAAACAGATATTTTAGTTCTTTTGCTTTTTCTCAATTTACAGTGGGCTGAAATGTACATCTTTGACAGAAACTAAAAAGCCTACAACCTGTCCTAGAAGAAGGTCCAACTTCCCCTTAGTCCTCAAGGTAGGAAGGCTGACATACTTGTGATGTTTCAGAAAACAGGATGGCATGACACGTGCCCTGTTACCCAGAGAGACCCTATCAGTCTCACTTCAGGGATTCTAATTCTGGTAAAATGTAATTTTCTGCTTTTTAAGGGGGAGGGCTGGAGTCAATCAACAAAATAACAGCCCTGTGTCTGGGCCATAGCATCTGGGAAAAGGAATGGACTTTAGCAGTGAGATGTGGTGAGGTGCAGAGAGCACAGCTTTGGGGGGGAAAGCACTGTTTTCCAGTCTGGTGGGCCTCTTACTGTTGTAGAGCAACCCCGATACAAAACGGGGTGCCTGACTGTGGGTCCTCACCCGCGCGCTTAAAAGGACTTATCAATGCTCTACTGCAGGCACACGTGAAAGGTTAATAAAAGGTTTATTTACAAGGGAAAGGGAAATGAGGAAATGTACGGCTCTGGGAGAAAAGTGGGAGACAAAGTTTTAAATGAGTCCTACCCGATCCGCCGATCAGGAATCCCAAAATGGCGCTCTGAGAGCTGGCCGCCAGCCAGGAGCGGTGAAGCCAGGAGGCGAGCGATCGCGAGCCAGAGAGCGAGCAAGGCCCACGTGTTTGGTTTTTATATCCAACCTGGCTGCCCAACTCCACCCTCAGGTCCCAGCCACCCTCCCCTTGGTGGTGATGGGATTTGTCTTTCCCAATGTCCTGATGG